TTCCTAAATAAATCATTTTAATGCATATGCAGGGTCAGGAGAATCTGTTACCAGGCACCTGGAGAGCTTAATGACCTCCCTTTCTAATCAGTTATGTTTAAAATAAAAGGCATCTTAAACATGTGAGCCTTTAACTGTGGAGGACTCCCCCGACCTAAACTAAAAGGTTAGAAGAGGATAGCAATGATGGCAGAAGCACCTAGGAGGTTTATGGTAACTTTGGAGGAGCGGCGGAGATTCACCGCTCAGGTGGGATTTTGGCTTTGATTGGAAAACTAGTTGCTGTGCAACATGGCTACATACATGGCTTCATGTGTAACAATGATTTTAAAGGTTGCCAGAAGCACTATAGTGGGGGACACAGCAAACATGGAAGGGATGCACTGGTCAGATGAAGAAAATTAAAAACTATAAATGCCTTTCAAATGAAATGCACAGTTCTCACAGTAAAGCATGGTGGTAGCAGCATGATGCCAAGGGAAGGGTTTTTTATTTTAGAGGAGAAGTGAAGATAAGCTTGTCATGAAGGGTGCATTCATAAAAGCGGAAATAATACCACATTTTACAGATAAATAAAGTTTTCAGTGTACTATGTGTGAAAGGGATAAAAGGAAAAAAAAAGTGACAAATGTGGAAAATTTAAAGGAGAAACATATTTTTCCTTTGCATTTTACTGTATAAATAACCAAGTTTAAGTTTCACCATCTTGGTGTGTTTACCTCTGATTTCCACACAATATAGGCGTGAGGGCAGGATGGCTGCACTTTCCGTTGGAGCCACCTCCGCGGCGAGAAGAGCGCGCCGGTGCTCCCCGAAGGCGCAGCGCTGGATCCCCTCACCATAAACGGTAAATCCCCCGCGGTATTCCTTTTTGGGCGCTTGGCGATCTCGTAGTCGAAGTGGAAATTAGAGGACGGAGAAACGCATGTAGGTATCGAAGGAGAGGAGAGCGATGGTGTGATGGGTTCTTTCAGATTGGGGATCTTGGTGCGTAAAGCCAGCTTGGCATTCTGTGGCGCACCTGCGTCCGCAGCCGTAAACTGCCCATCGGTCCCGGTGCCGCAGTGCCGGATGATTGCAGGGTCCAGGCTGCGGGTTTGGCGCAGTCTCCTCTTGGCTATGGCTTTGGAAGCAGGGGATGAGCAGGAAAAGACGCTGTTCAGGAGTCCCTGCGCGGCTGACATGTCTCCCAAACTTCCTCAACAACCTTCTAAAGCCTCCTCTGCAAAGGAAAAGGTTTTTAAACCTGCTCCATTAATAAGATAAAAGCTAATGAGGAGCTGGAGGCGATGCGTAAAGAGTGATCAACTTCTCCTCTCCTTTTTGCCCCGTCTTAGGAATGGGCGTGAGTATGTAGAGGGAGGTGGTAAAAAAAAAAAAACACTGTATATCTGCCAGTTTAAACCTTACTTCTCCAGTTATAATTAAATAAATAATCTGACCCAAACCATCATCCACTGAAATCGGTCCATTAAATAATAAAATCTATATTACAAAATATCTGGAGCTGATAGTACTTTAGCTATAGAATTCATCAGCTGTCAGACAGGCAGTAAGTCGTGCACAGATGAAAATAGGAGTATTAATCCTCCTCTGTCAATAATCCACCTGTCTGGCAGTAATAGGCCTATCAGGGGAAGCCTTCCTTCTTCTATTATTAGCCAGACAATATGTGTGCTATGGGATTATTGACTTCTACCTTTTTTATGTTGCATTTATGCTTTGTAGGCATTGTACCCACAGTATTTAATTAATAAATTTTGGTGGAGACCAAAACAGAAGTGAATGTTAATTGAAAGGTAATTTGACTTTTTTTCAGAATTGTGACTTTAATCTCAGAATTCTGAGATTAAAGTCAGAATTCTGAAAAAAAAAAAGTCAGAATTCTGAGATTAAAGTCAGTATTCTGAGATTAAAGTCACAATTCTGAAAAAAAAAGTCCTAATTCTGAGATTAAAATCTGAATTCTGAGAAAAAAACGTCAGAATTCTGAGGGAAAAAGCCCAAATTATAAGATTGAAGTCAGAAATTATGAGAAAATAGTGAGAATTCTGAGATTAAAGTCAAAATTCTGAGATTAAAGTTAGAATTACAAGAAAAAAAGTCAGAATTCTGAGAAAAAAATCAGAATTCTATGAAAAAAAAGTCAGAATTCTGAAAAAAAAAGTCAGAATTCTGAGATTAAAGTCAGTATTCTGAGATTAAAGTCAGAATTCTGAGATTAAAGTTAGAATTACGAGAAAAAAGTCAGAATTCTGAGAAAAAAAAATCAGAATTCTGAGATTAAAGTCAGTATTCTGAGAAAAAAGTCAGAATTCTGACTTGTTTCTCATATTATATTGAAATAAAATTTAAAAATCAGTTAACTTTTTAAAGATTTTTTCAGTGGCCCTAATCCTCTTCAGTAGAAACATTCAAAAAAATTTGCAGGGTAGTAAAATGCTGTAAGGCACCTCTTCCAAAAGTTTGAACCTCAGAGGATACAAATGTTTGCCACTCTTCAAAATGTTTTCACTCATAAAAGAAAAAAAGAAAAATCATGTCCAAAAAAAAAAATGCTTTTCAAAGTAAAATGCTGGTGAAGGTTCTCAGTCATCCAGGTCATAGTCATTCCAAACAAAATTTAAAGCAATCCGCAGGACTTGGTTTCTGAGTTTGATGTTTT